GAGCAAGCCCTGCCCTTTGAGCTAAATTCATAGTATTTCATATTAAGGTGATAACTTGAATGCCAGTTATGAGCAAGTAGTATATGAATCTAGACCCACTGCGAGGAGAAGGGGAGGCAGAAGAAGTGAGACTATCCAAGTTGGGTAGTTGATATGGTAGGGTAGGAAAAAGGGAAAAAAGAGGAAGAGTTTTTTCTCATAGTAGTTGCAGTTTCCAACAATTCTATAGCCGAAGAGTAGAGAAGGCACGTCTGCATCACTAGTTTCTTCAAATGTTTAGCTAATATCGCACTTGCACAATGTTCATATAAACTTTATCATATAACCGTGGTTATAGTTAACATATGTATTTTTGTACACACGTTAGATAAAGAAATAATAATAAAAGAAAAGTTTTTCCATGTAAGCACGGTGAAATTCTCATATCACTATCAGTGGTAAAAATGTGAAAAATAACTTCATAATACTCAATTCCTAGCATAAGTTCAAGCTATTCTCCCTGGGCAAGACTTTTCGTGATAAATGAACAGTTCTTGTGTCTATCCTCTGGTCTCTGCTTGGGCTCTTCTTTTCTTCACCAATCACTCACGAGTCACGTCGTATTCCTCTCCAATCTTCGCCACACTTAAGTTATCGCTTGCATCTTGGATATTGCAGTGCCTTAACTTTTGACATTGCTTAATTGAGATACCTTCAATTTATTAAGTGTTGATTTGTCATCTATGTATTTATTTTGTTAGTAAATCAAGTTTTCTTCTGGATGCACATTTCTTCTGAGGCCACGCCTCAGTACAGTGGGTGCTTGGAATTTTGTTCATTTTGTTAGTAACCAAGCTTTCTACCTCGCGAGTCACGAGGGTTGGGCGCACATCTACCCCTGAGACACTAGGTAAACCTGGGGAGACGTCCTACAAGTTGGGTAGCAGTCAAGTTTTAGGATCACCTTGAATGGACATGCCCCAAAACCGCCCACGAGAACACTTTCCAAGTCACCTGGCTTGCTAACTGATGCCCCCTAATCCAACATCTCCCATTTACAAAAGCACCACAAGGACTTCTAGGCCTGAAGCCAGGACATTGCACCTTGAATTCTATACCACGAGCTTCCACATTACTTCACTCTCTCGACAAAGAATATGATATAGAAAACCCAAGAAACTGTAGCAACATCCAAGAATTGTAATGAATAAAACATGCATGCCAACACCCCTTGTGTCGTTTCCAAAATTTTCTTACAAGCATAAAAGAAGAGAAACAAAGATAAGAAAGAAGCTAATCATCTGACACATAACGTCAAGGAGAAGTGGCACCCTGCTTTGCTTTGAGGACAAGCTCTTCCGTAGTGGTCCCAATTATCTCATTTGCACGCTTGAGACCAACACAATAGTACCTTCCAATCGTATCCTTAATTGGGAACAGAATATATTAGAGGCAAGAAAAACATAGAAATAATCAATTCAGGTAGCAGACAAGGTAGAAATAGACTTCAATAGCCAACAAGAAAGGGTGCAGATAAGGTAGAAATAGGCTTCAATAGCCAACAAGAAAGGGACTTAGCATACTACTTACTAAGGTACGAATATTGGCTGTGCATCTTCCCTGATAGTACAATAACTTGATTATTCTCCACGTTGAGAAAAGGATTACTTATTTATATTTCCATAAAAAGATTAGACCTGCGTCTTCTAATCTTATCAATGAATTTGGTTAAACTTAAGTCACCTTGCTTGTCTATGCTTTTTATAATGGATTCCTTAAGAAAATGAGAAGTAGCATTTAGTACAGAAGACATTTTCCTAAAAATAAGTCATTTCAGACAAATGTTCTAGTGTTCGGTTGGTGATTGTAATGTTAGCAAACCGGATAGTACTTTTATGAATTTTTTTTGCATTAAAATTTAAAATAATATCTAAATGTCAGTAAGAGCAATGATATCAAGTTAAGAGTTGAGATAGTTGTGAAGAGTTATTCCTTGAAAAACATTTTATTGCACATTTTACTAATTGTTAACAAAACATTATGAATGATGGCTTTTCTTGGGTGATTAGGAACACAAAATTAGATATCTATTATGTACAAATGGGAATCTTACGGAATGTACCAAAAAAGACACTATTATACCAACAACTAACCATTTTAGTCATGCTATCAAAGATAGCCAAGAAAATAACCAATGATATAACATTCAAAAAACATAGTTTGCTTATGGCTTTAACCCTTTCTTCGCTAAAGCCATGTTTGTTTGCGCTTTGTGCTTAAAGCCCCAATAGACCTATAAAACTTCTTCTTCCAAAAATCTTAATATGTGTAAAAGGTTATTTTACATCATGTTCAACGTAGTTGGTCTTTCACATTTTCTTCGATGCGTCATGCAGGCATTCTCCAGTTCGATCAATGTTGATGCTGTACAATATCACTTTCATGTTGGAAAAGAGAGGGCTTCCCAGATATCAGTAGAGAATGCTCATGTGCTAGAAACTAAGTGAATTGGTTCAACCCGGTAATTGTAAAAGAAGGCTAAATATTAGTCTCTCTTCCAGAAAATTGGCTGATGAAAAAAGCCCAAGTTCTATTATGGATAGTTGTGGGGCCAATCTAGCAAGACCTAAAACTTATGTATCTCAAAATTTTGGGCCCGATGTTATAAGTGAAGAACTGAATAGGGATTCTAATTTACCCCAACAAATGGAGCGGCCCGACCTTCTATTCCTAGAGATAGAAGCGTGTAAACATAGGGAGGTGTATCTGATAGAGCAAATTGAAAAATCAGCGGCTGCTCAACCGTTATTATCTCAATTGGAAGATGATGGAAGTCACACAGATCATGACATGCAAGAGGGGGAAATTGAGGGGGAGGTTCAGATACTCGAAAATCTAAATCAACAACAGTTAAATTGAAAATAGAGGTGCAGATGCATGGGAGATAGAAGATGTTGACCCAATTCAAGTTCAATTCCAAGAAGCTGAAATGGAAGCAACTCTATGGGTACATAGGAATATATTGAGACTGAGCAAGGAATATGAGGCAGTGTTCAAAGGCTGTGAAGGGGAGGCTCTATCTCTTTTTATGAAACTAGATGCCAAAAAGGAAGGAGGAGATGACAGAAACTCCTACTGCCAACTGTGGTACTCCAAAACAAAAGGGGGGAAAGGAAGTGGAAAAACTGGTTTTCAATGTGACGTACAAAGATGAGGGGAAAAGAGCAAGGGGAGGTCAATTTCCAGAAGTGAACCATGAAGATAAAAATTATCTCGTGGAATGTTTGGGGATTGAATAGAAGGGAAAAGAGAAGGTTAGTGAACAGTTTGATACAAAGGTGGAAAGCAGACATTTATTGCTTTCAAGAAACTAAGTTAGAGGGAAATATTGAACCATTAGTCAAGCAAATATGGACCAATAGAAGGGTAGAGTTTGGTTGCTTGCAATCAAATGGGAGAAGTGGGGGAATTCTTATTTTATGGGATAATAGGGCATGGAGAGGAGAGGTGATCACCACTGGAATATCCACAATTACTTGTAGATTCAGCTCGATGACAGAGGAGTTCTCCTGGCACCTCACAGGGGTATATGCACCTTGCAAACAGGGTGGAAAGACAACTTATGTGGATGGAAATTGCAGATACTAGGGGACTTTTTGATGGTCCCTGGGTAATATGCGGGGATTTTAACACAACTAGATTTGTAAATGAGAGGAGAAATTGTAGGAGAATGACAAGATCCATGATAGAGTTCTCTGATTTCATTAATGACATGGAAGTGGTGGATCCTCCTCTTATCGGAGGAAGTTTTACTTGGGAAAAAGGTGACAATCAGCAAGCTTTTTCAAGGATAGACAGGTTTCTATTCTCTACGGAATGGAATGATGAATTCAGGAATATTTCCCAAACACTGTTACCTAGAGTCTCTTCTGACCATGCTCCCTTACTGTTAGAATGTGGAGATTGGGAGAATCATAAGTCTTATTTCAAGTTCGAGAATTGGTGGTTCGGGGTGGCAAGTTTTAGTGACATGGTGAAAACGTGGTGGCTTTCTTTTGAGGTACAGGGTAGACCTGATTATATTCTGGCCTGCAAATTGAGGATGCTGAAAGGAAAACTAAAAGAGTGGAATGGTACAAATCATGGCAACTTTGAAGTAAGGAAAACTCAACTTCTAAGTTCCATGGCAGAAATGGATGTTGTCCAGGAAACTAGAAATCTATCTGAAGATGAGCTTTTGCAGAAGGCCAGCATGTTCATGGAGCTGGAAGATACAACAAAAAATGAGGAGATAGCTTGGAGACAGAGATCTAGAGTTCTTTGGCTCAAGCAAGGGGATAGGAACACAAAAATTTTTTCATAGAATGGCAAATGCACACATGAGAAATAACACAATTGATAAGCTAGAAGTTAATGGTGTGACGGTGGAGAATCCAGCGACTATAAAAGGGGAAATTCTATCCTTCTACCAAAAACTTTACACTGAAACAGAGGAATGAAGACCAGAGTTTGTTTTGGCTGATTGTCCTTGTATAAGTGAGAGTGAGAAGCAGTGGTTACAAAGATCATTTGAAGAGGATGAAGTTTGCGCAGGGGTAAAATTATGTGCTTCAGACAAAGTACCTGGGCCAGACGGATACACTATAGGATTTTTTCATTCTTGCTGGGATATTGTAAAGGAAGATGTTATGCAAACCTTGAGAAATTTTCATGCACAGGAGTTTTTTGAGAAGAGCTTTAATGCATCATATATAGCCCTTATACCAAAGAAGACTGGAGCTCGAGAGTTAAGAGATTTTAGGCCTATTAGCTTAATTGGGTCTGTGTACAAAATTATTTCTAAGGTTTTGACCGAGAGATTGAAAACAGTGATCTCCAAGCTAGT